TCCTGTTCTGTTATCGGCTTTTCACTGCCCATATGTTTCTTTGTATTATTTCGCCAGGGTATCAGTTGCCGAGGAATATCCTAGTCAATTTTACCAATTCTTCATCCTAACATTTTACCTCCGTTAAATGTAGGCTTCTGATGATCATGCGCCTTATCATTCCTATTTTTAGCCTGTAATTGTGATGGGAATTTGAATGGAATAGTATCTCAACATAGGACTTCTTTGTAAACAATTTCTTCCTGAGCGTCCCCTTAGAGCGAATCACTTCAATATCAAGGAACGGTAACTTCCATCGTGAATTTAATTTTTCCATTAATCTTGTTTACAACCTTCAGAAGCTCTTCCTATTTTTATCTTCCATACGACCTAAGTGCGAAATAATCATCAAATTACCGCATGAGCATTGCTGGCTATAGTGTTTACATCTTGAAGTTGTCTTTTATTTTGTTCATGTAAACGTTTGCCAAATAATGCACTAGAATCAAGAATCTTCACATTTACTTGATAAAATATTCTACAGGCTAATTAAATAAATGTTATAACTACGGAAGCCTTTCAGTAAACATAAAGGACTATGTGGCCTATATTAGCTTTTGCACTTTATTCATTAAATATATGGCTAAAGGCAAATACAATTAACATATTTAGCTGCAAAGAAGTTAAGTGTTTTTGCCATTTATAGAACAGTGTAGCATCAAATCTTTATGCAAATAAGAGCATATGGTTATAATGGGAAACAGGCAAGTACTATCATTTCATATTGGAATAAAGACACATTTTAAATAAACTTTTGTAAATCATTAATGGCTGAAAAAGTAAAATATAAATAATATTAAATTCTATATTCTCTCTTGTATAAGATTTTGCTAGTGAATTTTGCTAACTTTTAACTCTAATAAAAGTGCGTCTATAAAAATAGAAGAACTCATCGTTAAATTATCGCATTTTCCAGATAATGTTTCATTACTCATGTTTACTTTCTGCAGAAACTAGTGTATGTGTTTTTAAAATTGAAAAGGCTGGATAAATGTGGTTAATCAAAAGGCTGATGCATATTAATTGTAATTTCTATTTCTATTACTTTTATAAATTTGGTTAAATTATAATTTTCTGTTATATTATATATTTTCCTGCTGTACGGAATACATAAATATACCATAAACAATATAATTTTATTAATCTTAATGTTAAAAAGTATTTAAAATAGCTTTTAATCTATTTCGAATTTTAAATCTTCAAAAATGTAGCAAACACTTTAAAAATATATAAGTTTACTTTGATTCTTTGAACTTTTTATGCATTTACAACATTGCAAAATTTATTTGTTGCGAAAAATTCTATCAGCATATACAAATAATGGAATCTAGGTTTTTTCAAATATATATAGCTTTATTAGTCAGATTTGCATGAAAGTAATTGATAATTTATAGCACTTTCAAATTATGTATTTAAGAGCCACTTTCTAGTTTTTTAAGCTTCAATATATATTTCAATATATTTTATAAATGAGATCAAAATATGACTCACCTAGAGAACTGATTCTAAGATCTAATACGTTCCTTTCTTTAAGCTTTTAAGGGAATATTTTAAATACCCCATGAATTTTTTTATAAAGATGATCAATGAAACTGATTTGTAAATAAATAGAGACTTATATATATATTTATTTAGTTATATACAGATTTAAGTTAAGCATTATGGTCATTATTAAGTTATCAACACTCTTTGCTGGCTGATTTATCAACATTTAATGTCGATGCTAAGGGTTTTAAAAAATAACTTTTGCATATTCCAATTTTATTATTAAAATGGTAAAGTTTTTAACCAATTGTGCCATTTTATGATACTGCATTCTATACTAACCTTTTTGCCGCAATTTTCCTATGTAAAAATAGTACAATTCTCTCTTTTATTAAAGAAGCATTTGGTTTTATATAATCTATGTGTTCATGGAAAAAATTAATGGCATACATTTCTATCGATTTTAAACTATTATATTATAGCTTACAAAAAAAAGTCTGATTTATGTTTAGTACCCATCCTACTTTAGTTCTAATAATAATACTTTCAGTTTCTAAACTCTTACAGTTTACAATTTAGTTGTCTTCTGCTATAAATACAAAATTTAATCTCTAGCTTTATATGGAGGAGACTGTGTTTGTGTGCTTTGGTATCATCACCGAATATCTTTCGCCTTTAAACTTACATACCATTACTTTGGATATCGATGATGAGCTGATTATTCGTCTTCTATCCTTTAATAAGGGACTTTAAACACTTGCTTGATTAATGCTTGACTTTCTCAAAGGTAGGTGGTTAATAGGTTCCATTTAACAAATAAAAAACAAGCATAGATTAATGTAGCGTAGTTGGCCATTTGTCTGACATGCATTTAGCATACAATTTTAACTTTAAATTTAGAGTGTTAAATATTTAGGCTAGTTCAATTACTCCTCAAACATGCGACACATGGAGCTTGAACCAACCATCCATTAGCCTACCCGTCAGGATAATTAAAAATTTATTTAATCTATTTTGGCTTAAGATACTATTTGGTAAGTTTTAGCATGACTGCATTCGTAATGATATTATATACTTAAACCAAAATGCAGAATACATTCTTCATTAACAAATAGCACATTTGTTCTATTCCTATAAAATGTTACCACAAATTGACTTGATAATATATATTTAGCTATACGACTTTAAAAAATGCATAAGCATGCTAATATTTTGGGGATCATTTAAATGCATCTCATAACTTAGGTGATTGAATTATTACTTTACTCAGGAAAAATAATAAGCAAATATTGATTCATTAAAAAATGTATCTATTTTTTAGCAAAGTTAAATAGGATAATCTATATATAAAGACTAATAGTTAGTCTTTATATAATAGTCAATTTCAATAAGGAATATAAAATACTATCTGGATGAGCTTAATAAATATTAAAAAAATTTAATTTAATTTAATCACTTTTGTTTATAAAGAATATGCTAAATGTTAATAAAATAAACTTTTTATCAATTTATTTAGCAGTATCTCTATTGTACTTTCGTCAAAACACATTTTTTAAGCCCTGAATTTCCCTTGTATTTAGCCTTACTAAATCAGTATGATAAAAGTCGATTGTTATTGGAAGGACCTTCACAAAGGAAGCTCCCTACAAGGTGTCATTAATGACCATTTAAAAACAAAACAACAATTTGTATTTGTCTCTTGAAGAATATGTTTGAAAAAAGATTTTTACCAGAAAAAAAGCTACTAATGTTTAAAGTTAATCATCAAAATTGGACATAGATAAAATTTTTATAGATTTTATCGTATAAGAAGATCCTTTAAAGCTCATAGTTAGGAATGTATAAATACTAGAAAGATGGATCATACTAAATAGTTTTAGGCAAACTTATATATAATTCTAGCAGGGTGGTTGGTAGTGTTAATAACGTCTGACCGAACTACTCTTCTGCATTTGCGCAGACATATCCAGTTAACGGAAGTCTTTGACGCTCATTCTGACCACCGGATCTCGTCATAGTGACTCCAGGTCTTATACCATTAACCTCGTTTTCACTAGTATCTTGTGACTTCTTACTCCGACGTTCGAAAGTCCAGAAACTGAGAAAGCGACGCCTCAGCACTCCATCCCTGTTAGCATAAACAATAGGCGTAAGGGTAGAGTTCACGTAGAGAAGCCAAACGCTAACAGACCTTATCACTTCCTGTAGATCTGTAAAGCTTTTATCACGTTCACTATAAATATTTTGAGTCTCCAAAGTTAGCATCCCTGATCCGGCCTGAGGTATACTAGTTTCAAATTTGTTGGAGAAATGTGAGCTGTTCACTAGGCTTTCTGAGGAGGCTAATAAGTTTAACTTTCCATCAGAGAAAAAAGAGGAGGCAGAGAAAGTTTTCGAAAGAAGGCTGTAAGGAATCGACGACAACAGAGGAAGTTTCGAAATCCTTAGTTCTGGATTGTGCTTCTCTTTCGTGATAATAGCTGTATAAATTATGAAGATGAAATAGGGGAAGGTCAATGCAATAAAGGTTGCAACCAGACAGAAAGC